GCAGCAGGTAGCAGAGGCAGAGGAACTGGCAGCAGGTCCCGGTGGCAGGCAGGTGGGTGGTGGGCTGAGGGGGGGACCACTAAGCTCTGCTCACCCAGTTCAACCCCGTTCCTGCTGCAGGAGGCATCTGCCCCGGCGTTTACTGCCCACGGAGGGTGTCAACAATGCCCCACCGTGCTGTGGCCTCACTTAGCGATGATCCCCGCTGCAGGAGAGAGATAGGGGCTGGTGGATTGACCTGATCTCATCTGAGGACAATGGCCCTCACGGCAGCAGAGATAGCGCCAGCGTGAGCGACGCTAAGCCCACGCACCCTTCTTACTGCTCACAATGCAGCGCTGAGCTTAATTCCTCAAGATGAAGAAGATACGTGGCTGTCAGGCTGTAATTACCACTGCGCGTGTGACATGGAGGCCCGACCGCTTTCACGTTTGCATTGTCCGGTGGGTTTTTGTGCTGCTCAGGCTCCCAGCTGCCTCACTCCTGCTGGGAGCCCTGCCGGGGGACACGGCAGGAATGGAGCAGGCTCCCTCCAGCCAGGCTGCAGGCTCTGTGCAGTGGGGTGAGCAGTGCTGGCTCCCAGGGGGATTTCTCCCAGTGATGGAGAGCCCCGAGGCCACTGCCGCTTCTGGGGATGGAGAGGGGAGGCTGGGAGGGCTGTGCTTGCCGGAGGGGAAGGGGGCTGCCAACCTGGACAAGGGCACCCCTTTCCAAATCCCCCTCACTCCTGCTGCCAGCCCCATCCTTGGTGAAGCAGAAATGAGAGGATGATGTTGGAGCAACCCAGGGACTTGTGGGATGAACTCACAGCCCCTGACTTGCCCCAGCGTGGTGAAGGTGGCCTTGGGTGATGCCAGTCTGTCACAGTGCCCAGCAAACCTCGCGAGGGTTGTCCCCCGTACAAGGCTCAGGGACAGGCCCGTGCAGGGACACGTCTTCTCTGAGGAGCATCAGGTGGGACAGGCCAGGGTGAGGGTGCTTTGTGCGGGCGGCTCAGGGAGAGCTATTGCAAGGGCAATTCATGGGTCCTCTCTGAAAATGGCAAACGCAGACCCACGCTGGCCCCAGGAGCAGCCAGGCCTGGGTGAGCACAGCTGGCTGCCAGCAGCAAGGGGCTCCCCTAAAATGTGTCTGCGCGTGGGCTGTGCACTAGTCTGACCCTCTGCTTCTCTCTTCCAGGCGTACAGCTTTGCCATGGGGAGTTGGCCAAAGAACGGGCTCTTAGACATGAACAAAGGACTGAACCTACAGCACATAGGGAGGCCTCACAGCGGGATAGGTGAGTGATGCTGCCCCGCACCCTTCCTGTCCCTGCGGCTGCTGCTCCAGGCTCACGGGATGTGCCTCGGCTCCCGAGAGCTGGTCCAGGCTGGGCTGCTGAGAGCCAGCCAAAGGGCTCTGGGGTCTCTGGCTGGTGGAAGGGACAAAGATGTGTCAGGGCAGAATGGGCACACGGGGTGAGCTTTCCGTCCCTGGCACATCCCAGTGTGCCAAACACCCCAGCCTTTCCCTCTGGCTGGGGAACTGCTCCCTTCCTTGGCCGCTCTGGCAGTGCCCAGGCTGGGGGTGGATGTGGGCAGCACCAGGGCTCGCACGGTGCCTGGAGCACGAGACAGGGGTTCCCAGGCTGGGCGGGTTGCTCTCCCTGCCAGACCAGTCCTCCAGCTGCTCTGGATGCTGCGTCCATCCTTGGAAAGGAGGCTCTGCCAGGCAGTGCAGCCTCGGGAGCTGGCTGGAAACACGCTGCAGAGTGAAGATGCGTGGCCCCAGCTGGAGAACTGAATCATTGTCCCGTTTGCTCACATGTGTGATGAGTTTCATGGTCCTGCAGCCTGCTCCAAGATAAACAATTGAGGCTATCATGCACAGTGGCAGAGCTCCATGTTTCCCCTAGCTCCTCCACACTGGGGATCAAAGTGATATGAGGAGGGAGACCTGGCCTGGGACACAGGCCATATATCTGCCTGCTGCTTAGTGCTGGGGGCACAGAGCTGGGGCAGCAGCAGGCTGCGGTATGGGCAGGAGCTTAGATTTACTGGGCTGTAGGCAGGGCTGTAACTCAGGGCTGCATTGCTCTTGCCTGTCTTGTTTCTCTGCGGGGTGTTGGATCACCTCTTGGAGACCGGCGGTCAGGTGTTACCTCTGCCTCCCAGCCCTTCATCCACAGTGACTTGTAAGCATTAAAGTTTGCAAGGAGGTAAGATTTACTTGGAAAAGTCACCAGCTACCTGGGTCTTGAGGAGGCTGTTTAATATTGTTTCAAGACTCTAACCATTAAACTCTCCAATCAATCCAAGTTAAGGAGATGAATTATTTAAAGCTCACCAGCTTTTAATTAGCAAGCTCCTTTTGAACTATGGATCTGGTTGCATTATTGACGGAGGTAGCATTAAAATTTGCTTCCTTGCCTAGGAGCAGATTTGCCTTGCTTGTGTGCCATGTTGGGGGGATCACAGGGAAGAAGTGGGGACTGCAAGAATTGTATCTATGTGTCCTGCTGTGCAGGCTTGGGCTTTTCCTAGGGTCTCCAGGGGGATGCAGGGTTGCTTTGTACCTCATCTTTCCTCATTTTATTTATGGCAAGAGCTCTCTATTACTCTGGTTTCTTACTCTGACAAAGCATCCCCTGCTCTGGAGTATCATCTGTCTGCCGTTGGTTTCTGCCTGTGTTTATCTCCGTGCTGTTGTCTTGCGCAGGTGTCTCTGATGGAGTTCAGAGAGGTGCTGTTCTTGTCCACTCCCCACTCCAGTCCTTTAGGAGGGTTTTGCTTCTTCATTTCTGCCAGACTCCCTCTGTGGGGGAGCACTCCCAGCTCTCCCTATACAAGGTGAGCCACAGGCGGATTGCCCATGCAGAAGCAAGACCCGGCAGCCAAGCTCCCTTCTTGCAGCACTCTGTCCCAGTGGCAAACCTGCCTTTCACACCCTGTTTGGAAGGAGTTTTACATGGGTGCTGGGAAGGATGCCAGGCCAGGAGTGTGACAGTCTCCATCTCCCTGGCACTGCCAACGGTGCACACATGCCCTGTGTGTTGCAGCCTGCTGGTGGCTCCATTTGGGCTGGGTCCAGAGCAGCTCTGCCCTGGGCATCTGCGATCCTCCGACTGCCTGCAGAGGCGGCAGCTGCTGGCACCCTGTGCCTGGTGGCTTTACCACAGGCTGAGCCCCAAGGAGTGAGCTGGAGGCACGGCTCATGGAACAGCAGCTGGGGAGAATGGCTTCTCCTCCCAGGTAGCTTGGGAGCCCCAGGCACAGCTGCTGCCCACGGTGTCAGGGCTGCTGGCTTTGGGGCTTGGTAACCCAGCGTTCCCCCTAGGAGAATGCTCGGGGCTATGCTGGTGACTGGAGACATGCCTTGCCTGGCATTTTGTCAGGGCCCTAGCCTCCTGGCCTTCCGGCCACTTTGTTTCCCAGCCTGCTAGCTTTTCAGGTCCTAGGCGTGGATCAAGTGTTGGCTCTAGTGACAGCCCAAGAGGTCACTAGGCCAAGGTCAAGGAGGGGCTGCTCACTGCAGGGGGGCCTGACTTCCTTGGGTCTGGCTTTGCTGCCTCATCCTGGAGCAAGTGTGGGTCCTCCACAGCCGAGTTCTTCCGTATCAGCCACTGGGACTGGGCACAGTCATCCCAATTGCTGGTGATCACGCTGGGACCTGAGCAGTCCTCACCACTCTCCTCCTTCATGATCTCAACTGCTCTTGCTTCAGGGCTGGGAGGAGCCATCCCTTTCCCTGCCCAGGGCTGCCTTCCCCTTCCCTCCCTGGCTGTAAGGAGCCTTGCTCCTGACACAGCCCTGCCCACTAAGCCGAATAAATGACCCCTCCTCAAGGACTGCTGCTGGAGAAGAGTGGAGAACAGCAAAGCACATTGCCTGCCCATCCCTCGCTGCCCATGGTGAGACAGGAGCTGGCTGTGGCCTTGGGGATGCTCCCATATGGTCTAGAGCCTCCCTTCCTTATTGTGGTCGGTCCTGGGGTGCAGCAGGGTCAAGGGAAGTTGGGGAGCTGAGAGAGGGGATCCCCAGGGGTACCCAAAGCAGATGTAACCAGGGTCAGCTTCTGATTTTCATGGCCCTCGTACGTCCCTGATGTCCAGAAGTCTGCAAACCAAGGAGGGCTGAGAAGGGAGCTCCTTTCCCAGCAGTGTGGGGAGTGGTCCAGGGGGATGCAGGCAGTCCTGTGAAGCCTCCGCTCGCTTTTGCAGGAATGTGCAACGTGGATGTTTCCCTTCAAATCTGACAGAAAAATTGCTGTGGGTGTCCACTTGTTTTTGCAAACAGTTTGCAAGGAATTTTGCCGTCTCGCCTGATAGGTCATGTATCACTCTTGATTCACCGGCTCAGCAGATATCTGCTCCAAATCTCTGCACTTGGCATGCTCTGGGACCCATCCCGCTCCAAGCTTCATCTCTTCTCCTTTGTCTTGTTCAAAATCTGGGGAGTTCAGGCCACTCAACACCCTGCAGAGCCAAGGCCGGATTCTGGACGGGGACCTCACCTTTAGCATCTGGTGCGTGCAGGCAGGAGGGGCTCGTGGTAAAGCACCGTGGAGTCTCTCTCACCCCATCCCCTGGGACATACGGCTGTGCATACAGCAAGTTGCTGAACAGAGCTTGTGTTCTACCTTTTGTCTGGTTTCTATTCATGAACAAGTGAGCCGCAAATCTTGTCGAGGGGTTAGAAAAGTGGTTTGTGTCATCAAATGCACCAAAGTGTATTTGTATACACTTCAAATACAGCTGCTTTGAGGTGGGATGGGTGCAGGTCTGGTGCAGTTGTTTTCTTGGGAAGGAAAAGGTAAAGGAAGGGGGGAAAATGTCAATATTTCAGCTTGCTGAGAAATATCGGGCAGAATAAGGAGGTAGGAAGGTCCTACTCCGAAGAGTGAGGATGCAGGAAATCTTGGGAGACAGGAAAGGAGCAAAAGGGGAGTAAAACCTGTTCTTTCATGCCTTTTCTCAGGTTGATATTTCAGCTCTAAGAATTCCTTCTGGGCTGAATGTGGCCCTGAGGACCAGAGGGGACTTTCTTCTGCAGCTTCCATTTCTCCTTGAACATGGATTAAAGTGTGTCAGCTCTAGTGTGGGCTGTAGGATCTTGCAGTGAGGAACTTCTTTTTGTTAGTGTTTTCTTGGCCCTCAACAAAATGAAGTTGAGTCTTGCCAAGAAGTTACTCATCTTACAGATGTGTGCACATTGCCATTCTTAAAACATGTGTTTGAGGCGCTGCTTGCCAGAAATGAGCTGCAGCTTGTAATGGGGGTCTTGGCACTCTCATGCAAAGACCGGCATTCACAGGCTCCACACCAGTGGACCTGGGTTCTTGTGTTGGGGTCTCTCTACTGAGTTTCTGAGACTGATATGAATCAGAAGGATTAAAATCCCAGGCTTTAGTTGTGATACAAATCAGCCAGCAGGTCACCTGGATTCAGTAATTAATTTTCTTAAATTTTTGCCTTTTTTTTTAACCTTTTTCCCTGAAAAAAGGTCAAGTTTTACTGACAAGCACCTGTCAAACCAAGTGCAGCTCTCCTTAACCACTGCCCAGTTGTTAAATCTGGTTATTCTTTTATTCGTCAAATATGCTATTTTTGCTACATTTATTTTGATCGATTATGTAACATAATACGCCTTTAGTCTTAGTTTTTAGATATTTGTTACATTAGAAAAATGGTAAATTACTATTTATTCTTAAAGAGGTGGTGATTAAATTATTACTCGTGATTACTGTTTTGGGTGAAAATTGGAGTGCAGTGCTGAAGTACTCCAGCAGTAGTTTGAATTGGGTTTATTAGTAAAATCCTGTTTCCCTTGCATATACTCAATACAGAAGGAAAAGTAAATTTCAGAATACTTTTTAGTTAAAAACACCTGGTGCATGAAACCAAAGCAAGAAGTGACCAGTGAGTTGAAGGAGTGTTTCTGGAAACCACCCTTTCAAGATTTTAGTATTAGTACATCTTATCCTCTCCCACCTTAGTTTGTTGGTTTGTTTGTTTCTCTGATTATGGAAAAGATAAAAGGCACACACCTTTTTTTTTTTCAGTTCTTTGTTGTTTCTCAGCTCTGAACAAGCCGGTTATTGAACTGAAAATACACCGAAAAAAGCAAAAAGTTTCCAAATCTGCAGAAGTAGCTGCTGCTGCTGGGAAAGTCTGTTTCTCGTTTGTCAGCTCTGCTTCCACCTCCAGTGCATTAACTGTCTTTAAAACATGATGTTACCCGTTGCTACTGATCCTTTTTGAATCTAACTGAATTTAATTGAATCTTTAAAGTTTAGCTTTTAGCACACACATTATTATGATTTTAGATTTGGTTCTAAATGTCTGGTTTGGGTTTTTTTTCTTTTTCGAGGAAAGATGGTAACCAGACAGCTGGTGTCTCTTGGTAGTGAACCCGCAGTACCCGTCCCAGGTGACCAGGAGATCTGGTCCCGTAATAGCACCTGTGTTGACACAATGCCCTCACTGGGCTGTTTTACACCAGCTGGCCTAATCCTGTGAGCTGTGAGCCGTGTGCCTCTGCACGGGGCTTCACCATCTTCCCTGTGCCCAAGGTCCCCCTGGCTGGGGCTGTGCTGTGCTCCCTCCGCAGGGATCTCTGCCGTGCCAAATGGAAAAGCCCTACCTGCCTGGGCAAGTCGGCAGCCCATGTGGTGAGTGACCCAGCAAGCCACCGTGCCTTCCTGGCTCCATCTCTCTCTTTTCGTTTACTGATTGGAAATCTTGGAAGGTTAGGGTGTGATATTGTTCCTGATCCAGAGCATTAATTAGGCCTCGGAAAGAAGAAGAGGAATTGCGTGTTTTTAACAGTGAGGTTAATGGGATGCTCGCAGAGTAGACAGTTTTAATGAGCTTCAACTCGACGTGCAGCGAGTTTACTCTTTGTGTTAAAAGGGTCACACTGCAGTAGTTTGATGTGGATTGTCTCCTGGCCCCCGGTGTCATAGGTGAGTGTCTGTCAGAGTCCAGTCAGAGCGCATTTACTTAGTGACACGATTCTAATTAACTGCCTCAAGCTGCCACCGCCACGGGGAACCGGGCCAGGGCCTGCCAGGGGTGCCTCCTGCCCGGTGAAGCCATCCCGCTCCCCGGATCGCTCTGCCTGCTTGTGTACCGGCGGTGCCGGGCTGCTCTCCACGCTGACATTGAAGGAGGGGGCAGCGAGGGCCACGCTCGCTAAGTGCGATGGCCGGCAGCAGGCCCCCTGCCCTAAGGGGTGCCTTTGGCTGTCAGCGCAGGCTCTCTCCCCAGGAGCTCAGCAGGGCTGATGAGGCTTCGCCTCACCCTGCAAAGTGCTGGGAGCGTGTTTTCCTGGCAGCTTGCAGTTCTAGGAACTTGTTGGCTTTATTTCAGCCTCCTCTCATTCTTCTCTGCTCTCCTTTCCCCTCTTTAGTTGTCCTGGCTCTCCCGGGAAGCCTGCAGCCCCCCGGCAGCTGTAGGATTCCCAGTCACCCTTAGTGCCCACCTGCCTCCTCTGCAGCAGGGCAGGAGGGAGGGAACAAGGGGACAGGAACAGCATTTTGTGAAACTCCACTCCATTTTTTTCATCACTTTCCAGCATGGCCCTGGCCGACAGAGCTGGTTCCACTCTCCCCATCCCTCCCAGGAGATGAGAGAAGCCTTGGAGAACCCCATGCTCCCCTAGAGCAGGGAAACTCCATTCTTCGGCTCTTCACTTGCTCAGCAGAGGTACCACGCAGCTGGTGCCATGCCCAGGGACAGTGCCATTTGCACCACACCATCCTTATGCCGGGGGATGCCGAGAGCAAGAGCCGAGCACAGGGCTCACTGCTGCAGAGCGGGACACGGGGCTGCCTCGAGGCCGCTGCCCCACACACCACAGCCCCAGCCCAAGGCAGAAGGGGAAAGACTCCGAGTTAAATAATTAAAAGAGACTTAAGTAAAAATCAACAGAAATGTCATCAAATGAGCAATGTCATTTTGAATTAGTGCTGGTAAAGGTCAGGCGGATCTAGAACAGGTGGAGCGGCTGCGTGCCGGGTGTCACAACCGGGCAGCATGTCCCGGCACCCAGGGAGGCAGGGTGCAGAGACCGGCCCAGCCGCTCCGGGGCACCTGCTGGACCATGGGCATGGGGACAGGGCGGCAGGGGGGGTCCCACCGCAAGCACCGGGCCCCGCATCTCCGAGGAGGGGTGGGCAGGGTGGGCCGGCTGGGGCGGCCGGTTAGAGGACGCGCGTCTGTCAGAGTCCAGTCAGAGCACATTAACGCGGTGACATGATTCTAATTAACTACCGTGAGAGGTGTCACAGCTGGAAAAGCAGTGAGCGGAGACAAGCTTTTAAAAAAAGAAAAAAGCAATGTGACAGTCTTTTTTCCCCCCCCCCTCC